ATAGACATATGAAATTAATTATTTTATAAATAAATAAATATATAAATAATAGTAAAGTTAGCAAATTAATTCATTAAATACGGATATTGAAATTTTTATATGTGTTGTATACCTATTTAGTACGGGATCCATCAAGTAACGGAACAAAATGAAACGGCTTGACAATAATACATGCCCATGATCTTTGAAAAGGTATTTTTGTAGATAAAAAATAAATAAGTAAAAATCTTATTATAGAGTATACAATTTCGTTATTTTCCACAACGAGCATCAAATTGTATAATGCGAGAGGTTTTTTAAATACATTTATCGCATATTTTGCAACTCAAATTTACTTGCATACTACCGCCAACAATCATTGATAAATTGCTTGCAATTACAATAAATGTGGTCCATTACAATTTTTGAAAGTATGTCAATACGTTAATTTCAATATATTTTATTTGATGAAATACAAATTATTCAGAATTGTTTAAGGTGTTGATCTAAATACACACGGTAAAAAAAAGTAGTGAGAGCGATGTGCGAGGAAAGTCGTGAGTTGGCCTCATCATCTCCTTTTGTGGTTGGTTAAAAAAATTACTGCGATGACGAGGACGACGTACCCAATTAAACTCCATCACCACGCATAATTAAAGAGTAGTACGTACGTACTTTCGCAAATTAACTAACTAACTAACTATTTATGCTGTTATACTATCGAGAGAGACGTAATATTCTCATACGTGTAATTAAGTTTCTGGCCACCATATATGTGAATGTAATATTCTCCATCGGTTAGGTTGACCATCAACAAGCTGACTCTATCCATGAATGGATTCCGAGTGTACAACCTCAATCATGTTGCCTAATTTACTATATATAGACTTTTTGCGCCAGGAATATAATGGATCTTCCAATTATTATCTTCTCCATATTATAGATAGATACACAATATATAACAATAGCCTTCATTTTTGGATCGTCACCCTAATTGAAAGATAAAAAAAAATAAAGTATATATATTGCTTCATTTTGCGATCGAGTCAATGGGAATTTGAAGCCATTAATTGTGGACTTGTGGTACAAGTGGGTGCGCTAACCCTAGCTAGCTTTGAGTTAGGGATGTCGACGAGCCGATGGGTAATTTGATTCAATTGGTGTGATCAACAGGACTATTGGGATTTATTTGGTTTCATTTTTTGTCATCCTACTTTGAAACTTGTTTTACATTTTCCTTAAATTTTTACTCACTAAATCTAATACGCCATTCTACACCAATATTTTCTAAATTGTTAGCAATAATTCTATATAGTTTTAACAAATAATTACAAAATATAACGAATTATTGCATATACGGTAATTAAATCTAGCTATATATTACTGTTTTTTGATGGAGATCGGAGAACGAATATTCTCCTGCTTCATACGTCTATCGGTTGACATTCATGAAAACTTGACCTATTGTTACCATTGAAACTTGAAAGCAATACGTAAACTAAATAATTATGGTGGTTTTATGGATAACGTCGACATTAATTAATGTTGATCAAGTAATTAATAATTATATAGTTGTGTTTATACTTTATACCTCTATGCATACGGGGAGGCTAACTTGTCAACAAGCATGGGCAAATCATCGACATACAAAATATGAAATTATTACGTATGGTTGAGTACTGTGTTTATGATTTTATATATATGGATGACTCCAAGTTGGTGTTAGTGTTATTAGGAGAAGTACCTCCATTATTTTCCTGGTCTCAAATACTGGCCAACAAGGAATTGGTCTAGCATAGTTTTTTTTTTTTTTTTTTTGTCAAGCAATCCTTGCGGATAACATAGGCAACAGGTGAAGGGGCCACAACAATTACGGCCACACCTCACAAGGACTCAAAGACACAAGAGATAAGAAAAATCATGTAAAGCAGGGGATATGCCAGGATAACGTAAGGCATTAGTTTTAATGTTGATATTCACTATCAAGATATAAAATTTGAATATTGTAAGTAGTATCTAACTACAAAACTAAACTTATATCACCCTCATAAAAAAAGGTCTCACAACACGTTACACTGAACAAGTTAGCGAGCTGTATGTAATACTGGTGCAATTGTGTGAAACACACTGCACATTGTACGGGACAAATTAGCAAGTTGTATTTCATATTGGTAAAATTGTGATTTAATTGATAGCGTACCAATAAGATATCAATATTCAAGGCTTAATTGCAAGTTTGGTCACTCGAATTGCTATAAAATTTCACGTTTGCCACTCAAATTAATTTATTCCATTTATAGTCACTCGAAGTAGTTGAACAATTCAAGTTCGGTCACTCTCCGTTAACCTCCGTTAACTTTGATTGACGTGGCGGTCAACTCTGATAGTTGATCGTTAAATGTGTGACGTGGCAAATAAAAAATAATTAAAAAATAAAAATTAAATTTTTAGAAATTACACATCATTATAAAAAAATTATAATTATAAAAAATGAAAAAAAGAAATTATCACAAAAAAAGAAATTATCACATCGTCATGACAGAGTGCTGGCGAATCCTTCGATGGAATTGGCGAGGCCTTGAAGCTTATTGACGGTGGAGTTGTGGAGATCCTGCCCCGACCAAATTGGGAAGACCAACAAGCTCATGAACAGGCAGATCCTACAGCCGATCGCGATCGTGACGAACCGCTCGTGGGCGATCCTCATGACGTTGCTGACTCAGAAGCTGGAGACGGTGATGAGATTGAAGGTGAGGAGGAAGATGACGACTCCGTAGTCGTAGTTCTTCTCACGTACGACAAGAATCTCAGGTAAGTCGCCGCCGCCCCTGTTTTTTTCGGGATGTTCAATAACGACAAAATCAACCAATTGCGCTATTCATAATAAGAGTCGGTTGCAAAGTTCGTTTATCGACTGTTCGATTATTTGCCTACTCAAAATTTTCAGTACTTTGTGCTTATCTACTTTCAAGCTTAATAACAAAGAAACAGAGGATTGAGATGGAAAAGCTCCATACCAATAATGAAGACCGCGCAGCCGATGAAGATGGCGCGGCCGACTTGCCCTGTTGCCTCGGCGATGAACTCGATTAGAAACGCTAACGAACCGGCCAAAATCGTGCCCAATCCCCTGTTCAGCCCTTTGCACAGAGTCGCCCCTGTTTTTCAAAAATTTGTAGTGAGAAAAAAAAACGTCGGAGTAATTACTTCTGATGAGTGTTTGCGGAAAGGGGGGTTTGGGTGGGGTTTTGAGTTTACCGGCGGTGAACTCGAGGACGACGACGGTCATGACGATGTGATAATTTCTTTTTTTTTTTGTGATGATTTCTTTTTTTCATTCTTTATAATTATAGTTTTTTTTATAATGATGTGTAATTTTTAAAAATTTAATTTTTATTTTTTAATTATTTTTTATTTGCCACGTCACACATTTAACGGTCAACTGTCAGAGTTGACCGCCACGTCAGTCAAAGTTAACGGAGGTTAACGGAGAGTGACCGAACTTGAACTGTTCAACTAATTCGAGTGACTATAAATGGAATAAATTAATTTGAGTGGCAAACGTGAAATTTTATAGCAATTCGAGTGACCAAACTTACAATTAAGCCCAATATTCAAATACTATAATATATTCAATGGATAATACACCAATCAAAACTGGAGGAAAAAATTGATTGATATATAATTTTGATTGCATTATATACAGGCTTATGTATGTGTGCTATGCTGCCATGCCATCATCAAGAAGTTAATTAACCACTCAAAATTAATTTATATACCATCAGCATTCAGGCAGAGGTTACCAGTAATACAAAATTGCCAGGTTTTGTTTATTTGACGCAATTCCCCCACCAATTTTTGGCAGAACATGGAGTTAAGCTGGGTTTACACATGGTATCTGCAATATAATTCTTCTGCGCTCATCACCTTCCTTTTACATATCATGGAGACAAAAAAGGGTGTCAATTATTGACGATAATTTTTTAAACCAAATATACCAAATGCTATGCTTTACCTAATTATAGCTCATGTTTGTTTGTTTGTGCCCACGTAAGTTTAATTCTTGAATTCTAAATCGAACATTGGCGATTACAAAAGTTTGAGATATCATTTAGTTTCAAATTTAGGAGATTTATCACATTTCAATGAACCTAAAACTTGGGAAGGACAATAGATGGCCTCAATCATATTATCACTTTATCATTTGGAATCATAAGGATTAAGGAACAAATGAATTAGATTCATGAATTGGATTAATTGAACTGGTGAATTCAATGGTGAATGTTAAAACCCAATTGGCCGGAATAATACGAACCGGGAAGAAAGGTATAGCATCCTTCACTTCTCCTTCAAGTTCATCAATTGTGGGATCATAGAGTATAGAATATGGTCATCATGCCACAAAAGTGAAATGTACATAGTTGGCTTTCGTAGCCATTATGTACTATGAACATCCCAAAATAATGGAAATGGAGCAACCACTTCCCCTCCCATGGAAACTTCATTACATTGGTCGCTTTTCACATAAGAGGAGCACGAAGCCGAAGGCAGAACAGAACTTGCTAGTTGGTTGCTACAGTTCATATATAATAAGCCATTATGATACATTTAGAAGGGACAAATTACCAAAACCATTATACAACGTTGTACGGTTGGAGCTCCGCTTTGATCTGGGCCGCAAAAAAATATGGCAATGATTAAATGCACTGAGAAACCCGAACTATTAACTTTGTGCCATTTGTGTCCTAAAGTATTCGATATGACATTTGTATCACAATGTATGATAGTTGTGTGTCATTTATGTCCTGACGATTTCGTTGACCGTTATAGATAACGGTTGACCAAACAGAAGTCAACATTAACATTGACTTTTGTTGACGTGGCAGCCACGTAGATGCCACGTCAATTACACCTCATATTTTTAATTAAAAATTAAATAAAAATTATAAAATAATATATTATTATAAAAATTATAAAATGTAAACTCAATTAATTAATATTGTTTCTAAAAATTAAAATAAAAAAAAAGTAAAGGAAAACTCCCCCACTGCCTCCTACTCCCTCTGCTCTTCAGCTTGTCCACAGCCGATCCTCCTTCATCCAATTACAAACCCATATCAAAAAAATACCAACCATCGCAATCGAGAAGAAGGATGAATAGGATGGGGCACCGGAATCGCCAACGATGAAGGGTCTGAGAGAGCACAAAGATGGATCGGGAGAGGGAAAAGACAGGCCGACGACTAGGCGACATCCAATTCCGGCATCACCTGCCGCTCTCTGGTTTTTCCGGTCGCCCGAGCTCCGCAGCCACTCTTTCCTTTCTCTTTTTCTTTGTAAAATCGACTCACACCCCTACCTTCTTCATTTCTACCTTAGCAGAAGCTTGGATTTCTCTTGCGGTCATATCCAGAGCAAGAGCATACCCTGAGAGAAAGCATTACCAGATCTGAGTCCCTCTCTCATCATAAACAAAAATCCGAATTTCACAGAGACGAGAAAAGAACTTGCATCAAACCTCCGACGGAATCCATGGCAGAATCCTCTGTCACATCGCGTAAGTCGCCACTCCCCCATGCCATTCTTCTTGAAATTGTTTATACGAGTTGGGATTCAGATAAGAAAGGAACCCTGAAATTTTTAGGGATTTTGATTATTTTGTTGGCCATCTGGGTTGGGTTTCGGAGATTGAATCCCTCGTTCCTGCCGCCTCGACCTCTACTTGTCTTCGTTCGTCTCCTCCCACCGCTGTGAAACGCCACAACCACCCACAGCCACCGCTCGCCTCCCATCTGGGTTGGGGTTTCTGATTTCGTTGTGGTATTGAGATCTGGGTTGGGTTTCGGAGATGGTATTTGGGATGGATTTTTGGAGATGGTATTTGATATTGGTTTGTTATTGTTTGTTGCAGGTGACGGCGTTAGAGGCGGCCAGGAGGAGGATGTGTTGTCGGCGGCGGAGGTGAGGAGAGAAGACGAAGAAGCGGCGGGAGGAGTTCCGGCGGCGAAGACTACGGAGGAGAGATAGAAGAGTTATTTATTTTGTATTTTTATATTTAATTTTTTGTATTTTGTAATTTTTGTTTTGTTAGTATATTTATTTTTTATAATAAAATAAATAAATAATAAATAATAATATTCCACGTCGGATGCCACATCAGCGCTTACTGGATTTTCTGTTAAAAACTAACGGTCAACGCCGGTCAACTCTAACGGTGAAATAGTTTAGGACACAAATGTCGTATCGAATACTTTAGGACACAAATGACACAAAGTTAATAGTTCGGGTTTCCTAGTGGTATTAGCCCTTTTTATTAATAGGTCACATTTGCTTATTCGTTGATTGTCTGGCTAAATTGGGCAATCAATTAAGTGTCCTTTAATCAAATTATTGGTGCAATTTATCACAAACCAACAGCTAACATTAATTCAAATTAATTCAAATTGTTGGTAGAGATTGGTGAATGAATTTTAATTTAGACCCGAAAATGATAAAAGTAATTGCCCTCACCTACCACTTTGTTTCGTGTTCTAACATTTGTGTTGGGTATCAATTCAATATATTCAAATTACAACAATATGTTATGAACAGGGCTTGACCTAGTAGTAATACCACTAATCTAGAATTTGGAAGTCTCGTGTTTGAATCTCTTAAATAGTACTTTAATCACAAAAAGTAAGAACCTATATCACTCTTATATAAAAAGTTATAACAATATGTTTTTAATGAAATTATAACAATATGTTTGGATAAAATTTTGAAACAGTATTATATTGATAAATTTAATTTTGTAATAGTATTCTATAAGTTCGGTGTTTGAAAAAATTAAAAGTGTTAACGTCTATGTTTGGATTTTTCATAACATAAAAGAAGAAGCTCTGATTTTGAACTTATGCGAAAACTGTTTTAAAAATCCAAAGTGATTCTTATGGTATTTTATATTTTCCAGAAAATATATGCCCAGGACGGGAGCATCGTTTGAAGGTGGGGTGAATGCTTGTATCTTGGGAGGAAGTTGTAGGGTAGGAGAGGCAGCAAGGAGATGATTAAGTGTTGGGAACTACAAATAGGATGTGTAAGGGGGCCTAGTGGTGTATTGGTTAGCTCTTTTGCATGTGGAATCCAAGATGTCGGTTCAAATTCGAGTGAAAGTGTTTCTTTTTTTAAAGATTGTTGAAGCTTAATGGGAGAGGAAGTGAGTCGAAGGCAGCGACGGGCCTATGTGGCGCAAGTCATGATGTTAGGGGGTGGTCCATGTGATGCATGAAGAGGCATTTGATGAAATCTGAGTTGAGGTGTCACATCAAGGTGATGTGAGTTGTAAATGCTAGATTGGAGGTAAATATGATATATTGGAGAGAAAGATGGATAGAAGTTCTCATCACTCTTATCTCCTTTCACACTCCTTCTTTAAGGGTTAGCTAAAAGAAGGAATATGTAATTGATTTGCTGAAAGATCAATTTCTCAAGTGTGACACGAAGCTAGATTTAAATAGAAGCAAACTCAAATCTATAGAGCGGACATTTCTTTGACAGGTTGGAGGATTTGTTTGAGAGAATGGGAATTGCACTGCCTCAAAAAGGTGCTTTAGGCAGAGCTCATGAAGCTTGAATTGAAAAGTCTAGAGTTGCATTCGTTGCACGAGGAAGTAGATTAAACATATTATGATCTTCAACATAAAAAGGAAGAGTTGCATGAAGTTGAATTGTTGATTGGATGTATTAGGGCTGAACATGATTTTTACAAGTTGGATGACGCTTTGTCCCCCCAATTGGTTACGCTCCCCCCATTTGTGTGCTAGTTGGAATACATACAAAGTTTGGCGCTTGACAAAGACTTTGATAGTTGTTCTTCCATTGGAGGTGTATATGGCGCGTAGCGATTGATGAGAAATTTGTTAGCCCATCTCCCATTGTGGGTTTATATAGAGTGTTTCACATGTATATATGTCTGGGGCAAGAACATCGCTTGGAGATGGGGTGAATGCTTGTATCTTGGGATGAAGTTGTAGGATAGGCAATAAATGAGATGATTAAGTGTTGGGCTCTAAAAATAGAATGCATAAGGGGGTCTCGTGGCTTATTGGTTAGTGCTCTTGCATGTGGGTTCAAATTTTTGCGGAAACATTTATTTTGTAGAGATTGTTAAAGCTTAATGAGAGGCAAAGTGGGTTGGAGGCGGCGACGGCTTATGAAAACAACAGCGGCGACAACCGCCAAAGGCAAGTTGAGAAGCATAAAAGATAAATCATTTGGCGGCAAATCAGTCGCAATTTATCAAACAACTATAGCGGCAAGAGATCTCCATGAAAGATGAATGAAGAAAAAAAAAACACATGAGGCTGAATTATTGAATCCCAAACACCATCACTCTCGATATCTTTCTGGCGACCAATCCAGCTTGTTCAAAGATGAACGAGACGAGGATGAGGTCGGGATGAAAGAGATGTAAGAAGGTTCTATTGTCTATCAAGAATAATTCAAAGCTCCTCTTAATAAAGATGGATTGAACATGAAAAACCTTGAAATAAAAGAGGACAACACGGGCTGTTTTGGTCCCTATATCACCAAAAATAAGGCGAGAATTAGTGTTATCATCGACCGCTATCCACTTGGAAGTGACACTCCATTGTAAAAAGCCTATATGCAACCTACACAGCTTTACAAACTCAACATAAGGATGCAAATTGTGGGTTCATGGCTTTCAAAAGATACATTCCTCAAAGAATTATATGAACACTTGCATGTCGGCCCACTCACCAAAGACATGTGGAAAGTGCATGCCTTTCTCGACTGCTCACCTTATCTACCAAGATACCAAATCCGGATCATCAGTAGTTCAAGGCAATAGTGTGCTTGTGGTCCATTGAGTCTAACTATTTTTTCTCCCTCTGGGGGGAAAGACCGTCACATTGCTAGACACGACCCTCTTTATAGGCTTATCCATTTTGGCTCCAAATCAACCATCTCCAATCAGCTCCACCAACTTCCAATCTTTTCGCAATCAATTTTGGCACAATGAGTCTCCTAAATATTCCAAAGCTCCACTTACAGAAGTGGAGTTGCACAGTTTCATTCATTATTGGCTCTATAGGTTCATTGTTTGGCCAACCAATGCAACATCACGCCAAGAGATCTCAGAGCTCTTGCATAAATATTGCATTCGAGTGTATTCATACCAATGTGGCGGTAATCATCCATTATCATTTCTATCATGGTATGCATACACTTGTCCACCAACTAAAAATAGGTGTGATCCCCAACGGTCCGGGTTCTTTATGGCTAGTGTCACTATGGTTGTGGGCCTACTTCTCAATACTTTGAAAACACTATTGAATTTTATTCTCTTTGAAAAGCGTCTCCTTGATCCATTCTATTTTACTACCACTTTTGATGAGAAACCTCCAAAAGGTTCTCACGCTCATGAGTGGTTCTCCTGCCAACGATCAAGTTGGATACTAGCAAGGGATGTCCTCATTAATCCATCTGCCTCTAAGAATTCCACATAAGTGGAAGTCTACAACCCTCACTATGTTGCTTATCAATTTGGTTTAACACAAACTTGGCCTTTAAACATGGCCACATTCTCCTCAAATTGGTTCTCCATTAAAGTGCACCGCGTTAACTAATGAAGACCTAGATAAGTCGGACATGTGGCACCAGGTGATGTATGCAAGGTTCAACTTCAAACTTTTTAATTCGAGCCATAGTAAAAGTGTTAGTCTCTTCGCCAAACTGCCCCCCGAAAGAGTTAGAACTATTCTATGGAGATGCAACTTTTATACACAGAGTTTACATGATGACACGTTAAAGTTTACCAATGTCGAGCACCAATGTTTTCCAATTTTGCATTTTATATTTTTTATTATTGTTATTGTAATTATTTTTTAATTTACTGTGATAATGAGGTGGAATTTTTAAATTTTTTTTAATTTCCACATCACCTACTTAACAGTCAACTCTCAAAGTTGACTGCCACGTTAGCTAAAGTTAATGGATACTAACGAATAGTAACCAAATTTAAGTGACTACGAAAGAAATATATTAATTTTAATGGCAAACGTGAACTTTTTAAGTAATTCTAGTGGACAAACTTGCAATTTACTCTATGTTTCAAGTTTTGGGTTAAACCATAGTTGTCAGACCGGGGTCAGGTCGGAACCGGACACAAAAGGGGCTAGAGACAGGCATATTTTGAGCTGGCCGACAACCGGTCAAAGTCGGTCAAGACCGGTCAAAATCGGGGGTCTGACAGGACTTATTAATACGCCCCTGGGGGTGTATTTTTATCAAAGTAACGCAGCAACGACTCAATCGAAGAATCGATTGAGCTCGAATCAAGAACGAAGCGCTATTAATACGATCTTGGGATAAAACGGAACCAACGGACAATTCCACACCTGGGGAAAGCTCGTATGGTATAAAAGGGTAGCTGCTCGACCACGATTGAAGAGGATACTCAATCGATACAAAGCTCACAAGCTTGGAATCCACCAAACTCAACAAGTCGCAACTTGCACAAACCAAACGGTTTAATTTCAATTCTCAAAATCTGAATTTTACAACGCAATTAGAAGGCTATTTATAGCCAAGAAAACCTAATACAATCCTAATGTAAATAGGAAAAAATTATGGTAAAAACAAACTCTAAAAACAGTACAAAACTCGGCCACAACTTCCTTTCTTGACGCACAAGTAAGCTGCCCGCAAAACAGTCAAAAGGCAGCTTTCGTACTAACTTCGCGCCTTTCGTTCGAGACCTTCCAGAACTCCGATCTTCATCCGATTCCTTCCCTTGGTAGATAAACATACCTAGTTTCATGTTGTAGAAGCCTTTGGTCTCGAATCAGATCCATGCTTCTTGAATTGAGCTCCAAAGTAGGCTTCACAAAACAGTTTTCTGCCTTAGCCATTTTCTGGCAGTTTTCCAGTTTTGAGGTAGCAACTTTGAGGCCTTGGAAAACAACCTTAATGACA